TATTCTTATCTACTTTCCAACCCATGTGAATGCAATCCCCCATTTGAGTGAGTGGATGAGGATGAGCCACCTCACTACTAAGCACAAAAAGTTATGTTTGGTATCAAGTTCCGCCATATTGCTCTCTCTATAATCTATATATATGTGTGTGTGTGTGTATGTATATGAATATACACACACGCACACGCACACATACATACATACGTACGTATAGAGTTGAGCTAGGCTACTATTAATAGTATCCCACATGCGGATACTATCAACCTAATTTTGAAAATCGGAACCCAAAAATAAAAATCCGAATCGGTAGATGTGAGCTACTACACATGAACTAGTTAGAAACAAAATTTTAAAGGATTTCATCGTCATTAACCCATGCAAAATATGTCGTCAAAATCAACGTTTCAAAATTTCCATGAAGTTGGTTAATTTTTGCTTCTTGATATATAATTCAAAACACGTCGAAATCATTTGAATTTTTGTTTCTGACAACTTCATGTGCTGCAGATCACTTTATGTATTAAAGTTCATAAATTTAAATAAGATCAATATATATTTTTCATTTACATTAGATAATACATAAAAAATAAATGTGAAGTGTAGAATAAACGTCCAAGAAGCGTATGAGGATTGTTCAAAATTAAAACATGCATTATATAATTGAGTATACGCCTGAATAGACATATGCATATATTAAAGTAAGTGTCTAAGAAGTTTTGGTATGGGTAGGTGTCAGGTACAAGTATGGCTTCTGATTGGAAGTACCCATATAACATGATGCGGAGGTGATGATGAATTGTAGCCCTACAAACAGTACCCATGAACAGTTCTCTTTTTAATTTTTTGTTGTCAATAAAGACCAAATATAGAAATATAAAAGATAAATAGGCTAGACCAGATAATCTTTGAAAATGATGGAAAAGGCTGGTTTCGCATACGGACATCTAATCAAAAGCATATGGCTTCACGCATTTATGAATCACTCCACAATTTGTCCGAACTTAAAACTTTTATTCCTATCAATACTCCATCTTCAAAATGAAACGTCACAATCCTTTATATAACAATGAAATAAATCCTAATTCTAACTAATAGATTACATCAAATTCAATAAAATAACATAATAGCAAATCTAATTAAATAACCAATCCAATCCTAACCAAATATCTCAAAATCACATCCTAAAAATCCTTACTAGTCTAATCTTCTAGATGTCCTACATCATAACATAGGAGACTAGTATCCGGAATAGGTGAAAATATTTGTATGTTGATCAATTTCTCAACTCTTGAATTGTAGTTTTTAACTATTTAGGGTGTATGTAAACTCACAGCTTATCAGTAATATACTTGACTTTCAAAATATTCCTTCCAGGGAATTTCATATCTACATATAGGTGTCAGTAGGTATCCTTCTTTGTGTGACGTAACTAGAGAACTAAATATGTAAACACTGAAGATAATATTCTATGTATGAAGCAGGTTTAATTATTTCACTTGCTTTCTGATGGAAAGCTAACAATCGTTATGGAATGGAAAGAAACTTTTATTTTGGGTTAAATCCCTATGTACTTTCTCTCTTTTATAGAGTATCGATTGGTAAAATTGTGGGGTGATGTCAATATCTTTTTAATACTTAAAAAAATTAATAGGAAATATGGCCCTGAAAAGGAAATACCTCACATCATTATCATAATTACTTCAATACCCAAAATCGTCACTATATTAAATTGTTTCTGAAAGATCTTACTATATTAAACTTTAAAGTATATGATCAAATAAATTCAATTTGGAGTTTTCCATTCATGATACATGCATATGCGTAATGTCATGATTTAAATTTGTCTCTGTTGTTGATGTATGTTGGAACCAATTGGAAATTGGATATGTACAACAATTAGAAAGTAACGTTTCACACCTGGCTAGCATCCGAAGAGAGATTAGTGTGCCTCCTCCTTTAGCATAATTTTCTGATAAGATTCCGATTCTTTTCTTAGTGAACTTGTTATATGTCAGAGAACAATTGGATCCTCTGGATTGGATGTCCAGAATTTAATATCTTCAGAGTGACGTGCTCATACTATATCCATGTTTAAATCTTTTCTTATTATTTTATCTTGCTTTGATGATGATTTCTCTTTTAAAGTTTTAAATGTCAATTTTGTTTCATTTTTGGCAATAATTTTAAGGGCGGCTGGTCCTTTGAAGAATCCTTGAGGAAAGAAAGATTCCATTGTGCTTGCACCTTACCAATGCAAGCTCTTCACGAGGTAGTCAATATCCTTGCAGTGTAAGCTATATGTATATCTTATGCATATAGACATACAAATTATTTATTGTTTTTCTTCATATGTCTACATACATGTACACAGGCATATGTACATGTATGCATGTACATGTACATATCTGTTTTTGAAATATCGTTAATGGAATCCGTATTTTCATCTCCTTGTTACAAATATATTCTTTTTTTCTGGAAAAAAAACTGATGAATCCTTCATGTGTGATGCAGAGTTGCAGATACTTCAAATTATTTACTGGTAAGAGATGCTCCCTGTGATTTGAAATTTACATTTCGAGGGATTTAGCTTCATCTGATATAAAGCTTTTACACTTGATTTCATCGAATAGCAATGTACTGTGCAGCTGTTCACTTTCATGTTCAAGTTACTGAATTAGACGGTTAATATGTTCTAATATAACATTTGTGTATAATTGAAATCACGAAAACAAATTTTAAAACTTCTCCTTTGCTGTTTGGGTTCCTCCCAAGAAACCGCCTTTAAAATAAAGTAAGAATACCAAAACATTACAACTTTTAAAGTCCAGTTAACCGTAATCTAAAACTTCTCCTTTGCTGTTTGGGTTCTACCCCAGAAACCGCCTTTAAAACAAGGTAAGAATACCATTTAACACAAGAAACGCCCTTGAAGGGTTTTGGTAGCAACCAGATCACTTTGACCTATTTTCCAATAAAATTTTGATTGAAATTTCCAAAATGTCGGTCACACGCAAACACATTTTTGGTTTAGACTTGATTAAGACATGTCATGCGCTAGGGACACGTGCTTTTAAGAGCATTTTGGGAATTTCAGTCAAAGTTTATCATGGATTAAGTAAAGGTGGTTGATTGCTATCAAAATCCTTTTAAAGGTGATTTTTGTATCAATTGAACTTTAAAGAAGATTTTTATATTCTCATCCTATTTTAAAGGCTGTTTGTGTGAGAAGAACCCTTGTTTACATTTCTTTGCAATAAGATGAAATCTTAGTGTCCCTTCGATGTAAAATTTTGGCAGAGTACCTTACATGTAGATCCTTAAAATGGAATTACCTGTGAGGCTAAACAGCACTTAATTACCTTGCAATTTCACTCAGTTTGCACTTATATGCTCTAACTTGTTTTTTGCAACATTTATATACCAGTATCCTTTATTGTGAAAATGTAAAACTTTTCACCCAAATGTTCATGTATGACACTCGCATGCTAATTTTAAAACTTTTTAATCATTAATGTTTGTTGAATTTATTGTTAAACCCATCAAAATTCTATTTTAAAATAGAATATGAATATGTTAACGGTAAATTTAACAACTATTAAATAGTTAACGAGTTCTAAAATTAGCATGCATGTGTCATACGGAACATTCGAGTGAAAATTTTCATGTTTGCATAACAAAGACTATAACATGCCGATTTTAAGCAATTTAGGATATACCAGCAAACCGAGGCAAACAATAAGGCATTTAAGTGCTATTTAACCTAGCTGTAAACCAAAACATGGAAACATTTTCAATAAAGGACCCTACAAACCTTTAAAGATATGGCTGTACCATCATCCTTTATAATTATATATAAGTTAGCGAGGGGATTTGTTGAAGGTGTTCCAAAAACATAGAAAGCTAGTCGATCGTTGGCCGTCTTTTCGAGCATCTGTTCCGAAGGAATTTTGGGTACATGCGAGCGACTTCTTTAGATTCTCCCTCAGGAACATCAACGGCTGTGATCGAGTCTGCCGTAGATAATACCAATCAGGCTTAGTGTCGACCGTCGGATCAATATGGCTTTCATCACGACGAAGGATACTTGTTTGTTATGGTTTGGCCGCACGCATGTTCGAGGTGAAAGTGACGTTTGAAGAAGTAATTCGGTCTCATGTGCGTGTATCAGTTGAAGGCAAAAGGTAAAAAGCACTTATTTACTCTGTTGTTTCCTCTGCTTCACACTTGTATAACCCACAGCAAAAAATGTCCAAAAGTTTTTTTATATACTTGCACTTATATATCCACACATGTTTTTTATAGCACTTATATTTCCTAAAGTTATTAAAAATTGCACTTAAATACCCTAAAGTTTTTAAATTTGATATTTAATTACCCAAAAGTTTTTAGAACTCACACTGAGATACCCTCAATTTTGTATAATTGAGGGTATTTAAGTGCTAGCTTTAAAAACTTTAGGGTATTTTAAGTGTGCTAAAAAGCATGAAGGTATGTAAGTGCAAGTTTAAAAAAATTTTAGGGTATTTTCTTGCTATAAAATACAAGTTGGGGTATATAAGTGAAAAGTAGGTAAAACAATAGGGTACATAAGTGCTATTTAGCCTAAGCTAAATTTTAGCATTTATTATTCTTTTGGGTTTAAATCATGGGTAATTGCAAATTACCTCCTAAATCTTAGTATTTGCAATATTAGCCCTCAAATCATCAACTTTGTGAAAAGATACCCCAAAATCAATCAACTTGGTGCTAAAAATTGAACTATTTTGTTGATAGTTTTTACATCGTGATTACAAATTAGCTTATCAAAATTGATGATTAATTGCTTTGAGAGTAATTTTTTAAAATTGATTATTTGAGGGGTAGTTTTGTAAATACCAAGATTTGGAAGATATCTATATAAGTACTCATGATGTAAGGGGTATATATGCAAAACCCTATTCCTTTTTTACAAGAAAAAGACAGGGAAGTCTTGTCAAGGAAGAAAAAGCCTCCACACTGGGAGGAAAAAAGCTACAAAAAAGGTAAGATTTTTTGGAAAGAACATAAGTAGTACTAACTGTGTGATCCTTTTTTACTTTGTTGCAATAATTTTTCAGTGTGCGTCTAGTAGTAGTAGTATTGCTCGTGTAGGCCATACCCAATAATGATCTCAGCAAGAAGAGAGCTCCCATGTTTGTGGAAGGAAATTCAAAATTGTGGGTAGTAATAGCACAATAATAAACCCACCCCCAAAATGACCCGCACATTAATGCTAGAGTCTGGTTATATGTTGAAGATAGGTCAATGGTTATCAATAGTAGGTATTATAGATCTCATGAAGACATTAAGATTTAGATGTCCTTTTCACTGTAACAATTATAATTCGATGGTCACTCGTAAAATTAATATTTGTTGCCAAAATTTTTTGTTATATTTTTTTCCTGTGATTATAATTTATAGTTATAACTATTTTTCGGACAAATGTGTAGAACTACAAATAAGTTGGAGAGAGGCACTAGGGGCACACTCCCAACCACACCACCTTTCTTGCTACAGTGCACGGGACCCATTAAAAATCTCATGTGTGCCCTGTGCATTGTAGCAAGAAAGTTGGTGTGGTTAGGAGTGTGGTAAATGATGTGCCCCCTATCATTATTTTAAGTTGGATCACTTGAGGTTGTACTTACGAAAGTACATTATCAAGTACTAAATAGAATCTCAAAAAGTTTGTGACTCATCATGACTCTGACGTGGCACGGCTGACTATACAGAAAGTTTAGTTGAGAATAGATTCCAGGCTTCTAAACTACGATGATTTTTATCTTTTTTGCCATAACTATGATAAAATTTATATATTTTAACAATTGCATAATTTAATGTTTGTAGCAATGCTTGACAGCTCTTCTCTCGCTGTATAAATAGATGTAAATTAGTCCTCCCAAATAAAAAAAGTGCTAATCACGCTATAATCTATGGATTTGCGTAACATCCCATCACACTCTTAATTTAAAGGTTTTTACATCAAAATCACGTTTACTTTTATCCAAATTGACATTTATCACATTTAAATTTTTTTATGTAAACCACATTTATTTGCTAACATGCTTGTAATGTCACAGTTAGTTTAGTTTTTAGCCAAAAAATATACGAAATGACCATTTTATCATTTTCTTTTTTTTCATCTCCTTCATCACAAACCTTAACCTAACCCTAACTCTAGCCTCTTCGTCCTCCTCTTTTCCCCGCCTTCTCTCCCGCTCCTCCCCCAACTCCCCTCCCCCTCTCTCTTGTCCTCCCTCTTGCTCTCTGACCTCCCACTCTCCCATTCCTTCTCATGTAGAAATTAGGATTAGGGTTAGGATTTGGAGGAGGTGGCAGCTATGAGTTAGAGTGAAGATTTTAGGGAAGGTGGCGGTCATAGGTTAGGATTAGGGTTTTGAAGGATGTGGTGTAAGCACTAAAAATGCCAAGAAATAAAGCAGGGTCTAAACTCGCCACAAGCATGACGAGAGTCCTCATCATGACGAACCTCCTCTCAGCCAACAAGCTCGTCATTGGCGACGAAGCTCATCATCGAAAATGAAGTTCGTCATTGAAGGTGAAGTTCGTCTAGAGATGAAAATCCTCTAGAAGATGAAGCTCATACAAGAGACGAAGTCCATCCGCAGACGAACCTCGTCAAACAGTGCCTCACCTCTCAGAGAATGAAGCTCGTCATTAAAGACAAAATTCGCCTAGAGACAAGACTCTCAACACCTTATCCTTCAAACGATGCTCGTCAGTGAAGGCGAAGCTTATTATTAAAGACGAAGCTCGTCAGTGAAGATGAAGTTCGTCAAAAGAAGTTCACGAGACTTGCTATGAAGCTCATCGTATAGCGAAACTCACTTTATCAGACGAACATCGCTGCGCATCGAGGCTCGTCTTATCTGACGAACCTTGCCACGCAGCGAGGCTCGTCTCACCAAGTGAAGTTCGACTGTAACGGTCTTGAAGACCCAGTCAGCCCATGTAGACTAAATTCCAGGAGTTTGTTACGCTCCTCAACCCCACGATTAGCGCTTCAGTTACGCGCTAAAGGCTTGTAAATAGCCTCAAGCAGCTATGAAGAAGCCAACTTGGCACGGGCACGAACAGAGACACACACGAGAGCTAGTACTCAAACTGGGAGACGCTCTTTTGAGATCCGAACCTTGGTTCTTGTGATCTAAGCCATCAACAGAGGCTGATTCTTCTCATCGAATTGAAGTGATTTTGTTTCGATCGTCAACGAGAAGTAAGTTCGACTCAAGCATCGAGCGATGCATCTCACTGCCACATAGAACCCACGTTAAACAAAGGAGAAGTCGAACCAACATTCTCCTCTTCTGTACTTGAGAAAGGGCGATTGTAAACAAATTCTTTTCCATGCAATAGAATCTTTCCTCAAAGCTAAAACAGTTAAGAGAATCAATCATTTTTGAATCTTTTTCGGGGCCCTACAGAAGATGGCAATCACAGTGTGAGAACTCATTTTCTCTGATGAGATAATCATGGCGCAGTCGGACAAAATCGTTGTGGGCACTGACGTCGAGACTCTCATCATTGAGTTCGACCAGCCCAAGTACGAGGAGCTCCTCTCCTCTTGTACTCCAAGTCCCATCAAGGCACGTAAGTGCCGCAAAGTCTCTCGTGAGACTCTAGTCAATTTGGTTTCTGATAGTTCAACTCGAGTTCGCCTCGAGGAGAAATCCTTAGCTCTGAATGATGAGATTTTGAAAATCAGC